CCCGCTCTTCTCACCCATAGTGTTCATGACCACGAAATATAATAGGTATAAATTTTAATAGCAATAGACCGTTAGAACAGCAGAATGAATGGGTGCAGGCGCCACAATTTAGCTCGTGGCTTTTTCTCCAATTCTTGGCCTCGGGCCAAGGAACTCAACAGATACTGAAATTTTACCCCTAAGCCATCCTGCGAAGTTAGCCTGTAAGAGGTGTGGTGGTGGGTGGGGTGGGTTAAGCACTGAGCCACAGTGTCATGGCTCAAACCCATGAGCTGCTCCTGAGGACAAAGACAAGGCTGCCTACTTGTGTAGAGATTCTCTGAAAGCCTAAGGGGGCAGTTCTACCCTGTTCTAGAGGGTCGCTATGAATTGCAATCAACTCGGTGGCAATGGTTTTTTTTTTTTAACTTAGCCAAAGGAGACCACATGTGTGTCCAGTTTTGGTAAGCAATCGTTGCTGTCATCTCTGCACCCCACCTGTATGTGGTGCTAGGCCCACATCATGTGACAACTGGGCAGGGAGGGTACAAGGGCACTTGCTGAGAAGCCAAATTCAAAAGGAAACCCACTGCCATCAAATCAACTCTCACCCACGGGGACCTGATAAAGCGAACAGCACGACCCCCCAGGGTCTTCAAGGCTGGATCTTCATGGAGGCAGCCACACCGTTCTCGCTGGGGCAGCTGCCGGGATGACGCCACCAGCTTTCTGGGTAACAGCCAAGGGCTTTAACCACTGCACCACCGAGGATCCTTGGAGGGGGCCATGGGGAGAGGAATCTTAAAATAACAGGCAGGGCAAGCATCAGACGCCCCTAAGCCTCAGAAGCATGGGGTGATGGGGATTTCTTTTGGGGATGTGAAAGAGGACCACCTGTGGCCTCTGAAGGGTGTGGCTGTGGGTCCTGGTCTGGAAGCCAAACCAGCTGTTGCCCCTCCTGGGCAGGCGGGCATCTGGGTCGGCTTTTCTGTTCTCCTGGGACTGGCTTGGATTTAGCGAGGGGGTCGGGAGGAGCCCAAGAGTGCCCACTGGACCTGGGAACACGTTCCTTCTCTTCACCCCCAGCGACTGGCAGCAGGCGAGCTCCTGCCACATCCAGCTGCAAGCACGACTGGGGTCAAAGGGCTGGCAGGTGCAGAGACCAGTCCACATGCCACTGACCACCCACTCCATACTCCGGCCCCTTTCTGAAGGGCGTTTCCAGGCTAATGAGGGGCTGCTGCACCGGGTTCTCTCCTGCCCGGAGGCAGGGGTGTGGGGGTGTGTGTGTAGAGCTCAGAGGCTGCCAGGGTCAGCCCCGGAGAGCTCCTGGGAGCAGGGAGCCGAGTTCCAGTCCTGAGCGGAGGTGCTGCCTAGGTCCGTCGGCGCTCCCACCCAGAAATGACGACATGGCGCGCGCGCGTGAGGCTGAGTCTTGCTGTAATTGGGGGGAAATGGGCTGCAGCGCATTTGGCAGGTTGAGAGTCACCAGCAGCCAGTGGGGGCTGGGGGAGGGGGGCTGTGCCGGCAGCAGCAGGGCTCAGCCCTGCCTCCCACGTGGAGAGAGGAAGAAGAAAGATGGAGGGGTGGTGGGGTGGGGGCAGTTTTCGTTCCTGACCTCCCGCTCAGGAAGGCATCGTTTCCCTCGCTGCCGAAGTTCCTTGGGGGAAGCTGGAAGGGTTTATAAAAACTCCAGGTGGAGGCGGCCTCTCCCACTGCCCCTGGTTGGCCTCTGCTCCCTTCTCGCCACTTCATGGCAGAGTCCAAATCCAGAACCGTGTACGTTTCATGGGCCGAAGGTGGTAAGGGAGGGCAGGGTGGCCAGAGGCAAGCCAGGGGCCAGGGGACCGAGGGGCAGTGGCCATTCTCAGCAGTTCCAGGAAACAGGGCCTTTCTCCCCACACCTTGCCCAGGGCTCAGTGACAGCACAGGCCACCTGCCTTCCCAGAAGCCCCCGGTGGAGTGCCTCAGAGCTGACAGGGTTCAGGCAAGGAAGACCACAAAGATGATGAAGAAGACAATGAGGATGAGAAAGATTTTGACCATGAGCCACCGGTTGGAGGTGACAGACTGGAAGTACTTGAGGATCTCTGAATGGGCAGCCTCCACGTCCAGCTGGGCTCCCAGCACGTTCTCGTCGATCCTAGGGGCCAGGAGGAGAGAAATATTAGGACACTTGACTTCAAAGAATGTAGCTGGATTGACATCCATGGTTACCGAGGGTGGGGAAACCGGCACTCATGAAAGGTAGGGCCAATGGCTGTTACTATGTTGTACACCTGTGGGAAACCGAGTTGGCCAAAGCTGTGCGCACCACGTATTCATAACAACAACAAAGAGAGTAGCTGCTGAGCCTGCTTAAGTCCATCTGGACACCTCCCGGGGTTAGGGTCCTTGGTTTGGAGGTTTAGAGTCAGGGTTTCAAGAGACAGCCCAGTTAATTGGCCTAATAAGTGGTTAGTCAGTGCTTCTGTTCAACCTCCTAGCACGGTGGCGCCAAGGTTCTTAAAAGCTTGCAAGCAGCTATGCAAGGCACCACAACTGGTCTCTCTTCCCTTAGAGCAGCAGAAGAATGAGAGCTGGCACAGGAGGGGGATAGGGAATGAATGGCTACTTGTCTCCTTTGCCATCAGACTCAAAGACCTGAATGGTGCCCTGCCATTATTTTGATATGCTTCCATCAATTGCTCAATTGAATGCTGATCAAAGGGGAGAAACTGTGACACAAAGTGTCAAATTCTCTTTGACTCCAGCCTTCCTAGAGCTATAGAGAGGGGACAACCCCTAAAACGATAGCCCTGAGCAAAATTTTAAGCTGGAAACCAAAACATCCCCTGAGGTCTTCTTAAAATGAAACACTCATTTAGCTACACTTTAAAAAAAAGTCCCCGCTAGTCTGGTCAGTCTGTCCTACTGCGGTGGCTTGTGTGTCCCTGGTATTTCAGATGCCAGCAGGGTCACCCAGCGTGAACAGGTTTCAGCAGAGCGTCCAGACAGAACAGACTGCGGAGATGGAACTGGCTGCCCACTTCAGAGGACACAGCCGCTCGGGAAGCATCGTCAGATACGTCTGAGCTTAATGAGGGGAAGCGGGCCATTCTCCCAGATAGTGCCAGAGGATGGGCCCTTCGGTCGGGAGACACTGAGCGTGTGACCTAAGAGGAGGAGTAGACCCTGGTGACATGAATGAAATGAAGCCCGCGGGAGGGAGCCTGCATCTTCATCGGCTGGTGGTGTGGCTCTGGTAAGAGGAAGCAGCTACAGAAATCTGCTAATGATTAGAACTTGGAATATACAAAGTATGAATCTTGTGGTGATGAGTGGACAGCTCTTCTTGTTGTGACTGAACTGTTGAACTGTAAGCTTGGTGAATCATGTGCCAATAAAACCATTGAGGAAAAAAGGGTTTGCTGCAAAGATGACAGGACCTCATGATCTGTGGGAGGGCCTTCATGAAGGAAGCAAAAGGTCATTCAAAAAACAAGAAAGAAAGAAAGAAAGATCGAAGTGGATGTCAAAGAGAGATTCTGAAACGTGCTCTTCATTTAAAGCAACTGGAAGAACGTTGGATGTCAGAATGGAATAGAACATTTCAAAGGGCGGCTCTGGATGACAAAGCCCAAAATTACAACGACACGTGCAAAGACCTAGAATTAGAAAACCCACAGGGAGGAGCACGCTCAGCAGATCTGAAAGAACACAAGAAAAAATTCAAGCCTGGAGTTGCAATCTTGAGATTCTCTGGGCAAAATAGAGATCGATGTAGGAAGTGTCAGAAGAAGAAGAAAAGAATACACAGAGCATTGTCCTAAGAGAACCCCCAAAACTCGTTGACATGAAACCATTTCTAGAGGCAGCACTGAGCAAGAACGGATGGCACTGAAAGAAGTTTACAAGGCACTAAAAGTATGAGCCAAAGCAAGGTTCTAGGAATGGATAGAATGCCGACCGAAATGTTTCAGCAGGCTGGTGGAGCGCTGGAGGCACTTGTCTATGCCAACAAATTTGGAAGACTTGGCCAACTGCCTGGAAGACATCCATATTTGTGACCCAGAAGAATGCTCAAATTACAGGACAATAGCGTTGACAGCATAAGCAAGTAACAGTTTGCTGAAGGTCATCCAGTAACAGCAGTACATTGACAGGGAACTGCCAGAGGTTTGGGCTGGATGAAGAGGAGGATATGGAGCGGGGGTACACCATTGCTGCGGTCAGATGGGTCTTGGCTCAAAGCGACGAACACCAGAAAGATGTGTCCTTGTGCTTTCTTGATGGTGTCAAGGCATGTGACCGTGCGGATCATAACAAACTACGGATACCTGTGAGAGGAGTGGGAACCCTAGAACACTACACTGTGCTCGTGGAGAACTTATACCAGCTGTGAGAACAGGACAAGGGAATACCACATGGACGAAAATCAGGAAAGGTGTGCATCAGGGTGGTGTCCCCTCATGATCCCTATTCAACCTGCACGCTGAGCAGATCATCAGAGAAGCTGGATTCGATGAAGAAGAGTGTGTGTCAGGACTGGCGGAAGGCTTGTGAACAGCCTTCCTTGCTGAACGTGAGGAGGACTTGAAGCACTTGCTGACGGAGATCAAGGATTGCAGGCTTCAGGATGGATGACAAACTCATTGTAAAGAAAACCAAAATCCTCACAGCCAGACTCTGGTAGTTACATCATCTGGTGTCAATTTGAGGATTATGAGTGTAGGGGTGGAGCCTAGCTAGGATATAGTCAACGAGGTCTCTGTGGGCATGGCCTTCTCCTAAGGGTTCTGGGAAATCCTGATTATCCTCCTTTGAGGCGGAGATACACTCTTATCTGCTCACTCCCTGAGACACTCTACTGATAAGACACATGGCAGTAC